TTTGTAGGGGGGCCCCCTACAAATTTTATTGCAGATTTGCACTTTTCTCAGAGACCAACTTTCTGAGCATTGGGGGGGCGGCTGCCCCCCCTTGCCCCCCCCCCCCCTCGCTACGCTACTGCGGGGATGGCATGTACGTACATGCCATGCTTACTGTGAGTCGACTTGTTTGATTGTTTATTCACATAGATGGCTACACTTGTACTAAATATCCAATGAGCCAGTTACAGTACTGCCTGTCTCGCCCGTTCACCCTTTTCATCGATTTACGAAAATATTTAACGTTATCCTAATTTGCTGTTAAAAATAACACCATCTATATTTAAAGCACTAGTAAGAATACGTTTTTTTCCCGCTTATTCAAGGACAGGTGAAATCAGGACTAGCAGAGCCATCTATGGACAGAGATATTTCACAAAAATATAAAAAATGAGTTCTGCATTTCCCCCATTTTTTGTTCATTTTCCCCGGCGGCAATGGGTTAAAAAGCATGTTTATCCGTTTTCTATCCCCAATTCCTTGCTTCCCTTGGACCTCAGCCCTCGCCTCTACTGATTTTGTCTGTCCACTTCCTAAGGTGTGAGGGCCATCCTCAAAAGGTTGAAAGACTGGCTTTGTGTCAGTTATACACGGCCTCTGGGAGACATGGGCACGTTATTCCCTTGATTAATTGTCTTGCCCTTATCCCTCATGGGGACCCTGATAGGTAGGCCGTTTCCTCTTCCCATTTATTTCAGGCTCATCATGGTCAATAATGAAAACGTTTTACCCTTATTAAGAGCATTAAGGCTCGTCCCTTCAGCAACTAGCCAATCTAAATTTGATTTCATTTATTTTCCCGAACCTTGCCTCTCCTTTGACCACGGCTCTGAGTGATACTAATACCATCTCCTCGATGTTTGCTGTCATCCATTCCGAATCATCCACCCAGGTCATTGCTCAACCTACAGAATACATCCCTTCCTATCTCAACATCTTCCACTCCATCTTCTGCACAGTCTTCTTCATTGTCTACCCCCAATAGTACTACCTCTCTCCATACCACCCCATCTTCCTCCCACCCTCGTCCTTCTTCTGCTTCCACCTCTGCAAACCTTTTGAGTACCCTTTTTGGCCCAGCCAAGTGGGATCAATTCTTTGCGATCCCCCCCCTACAGCCCCGTACTCTGACAGTACCCTTCTCTTCCAGCAATGTCTCCCAAAACAAGTAGGCAAAGTTTCCTTTCGCAGTCGTTCTGATTGTTCACGCCTTATCACAGTTACATCTGAGTCCCTAGCTCGTGCACTATCTACCCTGACTAGCCTTACAGGTAAATCTATTCCTGCCCAACCTCACCCCTCCCTTAATACGTGTACTGGAACGGTTTCCGTCTCTCCAACTAACTGTCCTGTCTACAGCAAGTGATTAGATTGTGAAAACTACTTGCTCGCATGCCTCATGATGTAAGTCCCACACCAGTATTGTCAAGTTAGCTTCAGAAGACATGACCTCCGCCATGAAGTATACATTAGTCGAGTGTCCTGCCCTGTCCGACTATGTCGACCTCTTCGCCGCCAATATCAGAAATGATGGCGTTTTGGCAACCTAGCCAAACACTGCCGCTCCACAGTCCGCTGCCCTCTATGTGCTCAACCTGGCCATACCGTTCTATTTGCTCTGCTCAGTCATGCACATGTGTCAATTGCGGTGGCTTCCATCATGTATTTTATAGAAGCTGCCCTACCTTCAAGCTCGAATCTGAGGTAGCAGTTCTCGGATTTAAACTAGGCCTCACTCTGCGTGAGGCTAAACAAGAGGCACGCCGAAGAGGTTTTGCCTTTTCTACCTTTTTGGAAACTCACTCTGCTCCCCTCCCAACTTCTCAAGAAATCTCAGCATCTCTCCCAGTATCTTTCTTCTACCCTGAACCGACCTATTTCTACTACCTTTCCCCCAGTCAATTTCTAGTTTAAATCCAGATACTCCAATCTCTATCACCTCCCCGGTGCCTACCCCCCCCCCCCCGTCCTCACTCTACCTGTCGCACCCTAAACGTTCCACTCCATCTTCTACCATACCCTCTCCTGCTCTTTGGATATGTATTCCTTCTTCTCCTCCACAAAGGAAGTCCTTTGTTTTTCAGACCTCCTAACCCAATTCCCCTCAAGAAACACTGGAAGACAACCAAAAGTTCATAAACATGTCCCAAGAGAATGGTCCACTCCCTCATCCACCCTGTAACCCATTTAGTCGTTCTTCTTTCAAAGTATCTGCCGATATCCATCCTCCTCTTCCCCAAGTTCCCCCTACCCCTCTCCCACTTAACTGAAAAACATCCCATCCCACTTAGATGCTTTTACAAATCCCCACTGTATTCCATTTGCTTCCCCACTATACCCTTTTCACTAATATTCTATCTTACAGCGTTCTACAACCTTTGGCATCTAATACATCTTATCCTGATCTACCCTTTTTGCTACATAGTGCTGTATGACCTTTGATGTCTGGCACATTTATTTCTTCTAACCATTAACCATTATCCGTTTTCTATTGTCCATTTCTAAGTGAAGAGGCGCTCACTTCACTGCGGTCAACCAAAAGGATGTTTAAGATGAAAATACACGTATCCGGCATCCAGGCATATACTGCTACTGCTAAAAAGAAGAGATGAGGAAATTACAGTTTTCTTCTCTAAAAAAAATCCATTACCACATGCAGGGTGTCCCAATGTGTACTTAATTACATGTATTGCTATTATTACTGGTAACTATTACTGGTAAATATACAACCAAAGTCCTCAAAAGTTTACCTGTATCCACTCGATGCAAAATAAGTACGTATTAAAGTAAGAAATATACTAGCAATTAACGAGGTAAATTCTTGTATTCCTTTGCCTCTGATTGGTTCCGATAAGGTGACGTCATTTAATGCAGTTTTCAGCATTTCACTGATCCAAAGGGTATGTCGTCTTGCTTAGGGTACAGTTGCACTTCGGTGGGTGAAAACAACGATTTCCTCGCGCAATTCTATAATTCGATGAGCCTGATTGGTCAAAAGGACTGTGACATCAAACACAATAGTATTTGCTGGATTTTGATTGGTCGAAAAAGCAGTGACATCACCCATTCACATGTTGTGTTTGTTGTTGTTTGTTTTGCAGAAGAAGACCGATAAGAACCTTCAGACGGAGGTCAGGTGTCTCGAGCTGGTCTGTGAGGTTAGAGCTTTCTCTGTCTGCCCATTTTCATAGATAAGGGACAAGTTCCTTTATGTGCGGAGATATATACGTAGGTGAGGAGATGGCACTGTGGCAGAGACACTAAAATGTCGATTTCGATCAGGAGGAGGATCTGTTTTGAATGCTTTTCATGGCTTGATAACTCTGCTTGTGGAGGTGTGCAGTCTCAGGTAGTAATCGTTAACCAGTTTCATAGAGTTCAACCTTGACTTTGGTCTTCAATGCTAATAGCTTATGGCACTTTATTAACTTTCAATTTGTTTTTTTTTTCAGGGATATTTTTTTCTCTCTGAGTCTCTTAGGTCAATTGTGAGAGCTAAGGTGCCATATAAAGGATTTTTGATTAATCCTTATGTTATGGACTTACTAATCTAGGGCAAATTGAAGATGATATCCTTGGAGGACAAAAAGTTGTAGTCGTTGGTACAAGAAGTAATCTACAGACATGAACGGTAATGCCATGAATTAAAGGGAAAGATTGTGCAAAGTACCACTTACAGCCTAATCCCACTTGGTGCTCCTAAGTTATATCTCTATTTTGCTGTATATATTAAGGTGAAGAAAGCATTTGCTGGGGATGCTTGGGGAGGAGAGCCCCCTATCAACTCTCCCCACACCCAGTCATGGCAATTTAGATAGTTGAATAAATTTTGTAAAGTGGAGTTGGGTACTTATGAACTGGCAAGTGCATCTGTACAGTAAAGAATTGCCTTTGTATGTTGTGATGACAGTCACATGATATTTTTTTTAGGAAAAAATATTCAGTTTTAGTACATGACAAAGAGACATTCACAATTGACAATAGATGAAATCTAGACTAAGGTAATTCTTGAACTCAGGATTGCATCTATCTGAGACTAAGTCTAGTGGTTGTCATAGCCTCCGCACCATTGGTGCTTTGGTAAAGGCAACAAATCCCCATATTACATAATCACTGAGATAAAGCTTGGACTAGTTTGTTAGTTGATGACACATTACAAGTTCTGTGTTGTCAGAAAATACATAGTGAGGGTTTGTTTTTCTCAAGCAGAATGCCTAAGGCACAGAAGCCATGGTGAGTGCTTGAGTTACTGTGGGTGTATCTTTAATAAGAAATTGTAAGCATACCTTCAGTTAGTATATGGCAGATTCTGTTCTGTATTCAGTAGTGTTATTTGATGGCATTACCTTAGTTTTTCATTTTCTCTTTGCATTTTCCTTTTGGTCCTTCTGTAAAGATTTGCAAACTCAAGTACACTCTTCCTAGTGAAAAGGCTGGACTTAATATCGAGAATTCATGCAAGGGAGATCAGTGTAGGAGAGACAAAATCATGACCAACAGTGCTTATGGCTTCACCAGTAATAACAAGGTGAGAGATCATAATCTTGAAGCTCAGAACCCCTTGGTTCTGGGTACTGTTCTCTATAAATTTTGTTGCACAAAGATGATTCCACAAGTGCTCAGCCTACAATGAGTCAATTGGTGGGTATAACATGTACTTTGGCGTGCATGTGGCACAAATCTGGGCAATACTTAATTGAGTGGCAACTCACTTGGGTGTGTAGTGTGTAGGTCCAGCACATAGAAACACTTATTTGCAGTGTCAAGACTGCTTGCCTCCCCTTTGCAGTGTTATGTCCTCTTTTTTTTGTATTAACATTTTTTGTCATTTTTCAAGGTTTTTATGTTATGTGATAAGCTGTATTAAAATGATAATATATTGTTTTCCTTGTACAGACTCCATATCATATATCTGTTTTTTTTTTACAACTCGGTGTAATAATAATAATAATAATAATGAT